TACTAACTTATCAAGAAAATAATAATTTTTTTCTCTTTTCAAATAGCGTTACAAGTAGGTTATTTACTTTCTAAAGGATATTTTATTTTTTTGCAAAAGTATTACATGAATCTAATTATACTTATATAAAGTCAGATAGTTCAAATATCAACAAGAAATTTTGGCATATTTGTACTAATCCAAGGAATAAATATAAAATTCAAGTAGTTTTGAAAAGTTTATTGATAAACTTTTTATAAAATGATATAGGTCAATGTTTGAAGAGGGGAAGCAATAGCTAAAAGTCATTTTTTGTTGTTCTTGTACTAAACAAAAATGTAAATGACATGTTAATATTCGAAAAAGTACAAAATACGGAGTAAATATTTTGAATTTGAAAAATAAAAAATGCAACATAAAAGTAAAAGAAATGTGGTAGGAAAAATATTAAAACTAATAACATTCCAAAAGGTTAAGAGATAAGTAGAGGAAGAAGTGTAATGGAGTAGGTAATTAAAAAAGGAGACTGAGCAAGGATTCGAACCCAGGTCTCCCCGCAGCTTTAAAACTGTTCAGCCATCTATGCTACTCCAACTATTGAGTTAGACACGGGTCAATCAGTACATATTATTATTGAGACGGGGCTGAGCATGTATATATACATATATATACACTAAAACCTCCGGCGAACGGGGGGCGGCAGCACCGGCTTGCTCCCCCTAGTTCCGCCACTGGTTTGGTCTAAAGTTGTGCAAAAATGGGAAAATGGGTTTATATGATTGATAAAAAAATTAAAAATTCATGTATTTTTAATGTTTAGCTATATTCAATGTGGACTTTTAAAAGTATACAAAAATTTAAGTGTGTTCAATGTAGACTTTTAAAAATCTATTAAAGTCTAGGTGTATCTGCAATTGTCTCTTCTCCTCACCAAAGATTTTCGTAGACTTTTAAGTAGTCTCCTACTTGTCACAAGTATGCATAGATCTAGTTGCAGATTTGACTAATACTTACCCGAGATCACAAATCGCCCAACAAGTCCTCGACTAGTATCACCAGAGTCGGGAGGTGGGTACCAGAATGGTCTCAATATGCAAGATTTGAACATGATATTTTGATTTTTTTTATCATTTTACGATAAATAAAATTGAATAAGGAGATTCTACATTAATACCGATACACAAGATAAACATAAAAAAAAATTAAAAAGTGATATTTTATATGTCGTCTTATGAAGAAAAATGTAGGGGTGAGGTTGGTTCAATTCATGAAAGAAAGTTAGGAACATAAAGAACCATTAATCTCATATCAATTCAGTTCTAGAAGTGTTAGAAAAACCGATATAAGAATCAATAGTATTACATCGCTGCAACTGTGGCATGTCGTCAGTTAACGATTAAGAAAAAATATTTTAACTATTAGCGTGTTTCATCGTTAACCGCTAACACATAAAAATATAATTTCAAATTAATGAATATATAACCGCAATTACGTATACAAAATTTAACAAGCTAAAAATGAAAAGAAAACAATTATTAGTAAGAAAAACTCGATTGCACATATTCTTGTACCACATTTAGAAATGAGTGTAACACTTGTGTAAGTGTTCTTACTCTTGGAGTTGTGTAATATAACAATTGAACATAAATAGACCGAGAATGTTGAGAATTCTAGAAACTTTGAGTTTTTTAATAAAAAAAATTGCATTCTTATGCTTCATTTATTCTTGTTGACCTCTTTATTGCTAGATGAATGGCATTTGTTTCATTTATTTACTTAAATGTTTTTATGGTATTATACAGAAGAAATTACTCGGGATCAGACTAAAACATAGCATTTTCCCCAAAATATGATTATATGTTTGATTTCCCTTAAATAGGACTAAATATTACATTTTTACTCCTAATTTAATTAATTAATATAATTAATTTCCCTTAATTCCCTTGCACAACCAAAGCTGTTTTGTTGAGTGGATCAGTCTGATGATGACGACGACGGTGAGCTTAGATGAGGAGGCAAACAGGTAGATCGGTAGCGGCGATCTATGTGAAAATGCTGACGACTGGTAATGGTGTTCCGAATGTAGAAGTCAATGGATTTTTTGAAAGTCTATAAACTTATCCATGAATTTAAAAGTCAATAGAATCCATTCATAGAAAAGTCTATGGATTTAAAAGTCCATTGACTTTTCTAAAAGTCCATGGATTAAAAAAAGTGTAGCACAATCCATATTCAATACCAAAATAAGTTTATATGATTAATAAATTTTTCCTTTTACAAACAAATACTAATGTGGCAATTCTTTGTTTATTAAAATTATGCCCATACAAAATGAATCATATAAGAACAGATTAATTATGTAATCGTCAAACAACAACATTATCCAAGCCTTAATCCCAAAACTAATTATGTAATTGTAACTAACTTAAATTGTAATTGTAAGTAGGTATAAAAGGGGATCAATTTATATCTGTTAAAAATATAAATTGCTATTACAAATCTTCTATATATTATTTGCTAAGTTAAAGTTCCCGATTATTTAGTAGTTAAAACTGTTAAAAACCATCATCATCATTACCTCAGTGCCGCAATCATTACCTCAGTGTCGCAAAGGCTCCCACCTACAGTGGGGTAAGGGGGGGGGGGTCGGATGTACGTAGTTTTACCCCTGTACTAAAGCACAGAGAGTCTATTTCCGAATGACGCGTAGTGAAAATCGCGTCGAAAATTGCATAGGCTGACTGTTGTACTTCATTTCCGATTTGTGTGCTACTTCATTTCCTCTTTTTGGTTAAGGTAGTACCCTAAATATTACGAAGTATAAGCTTAAGTTAAAAATTCAATATAATCAATTAGAAAGTAAACTAGAATACAAAGAGAATGGTGACATTAGTGGTGTAAATGGTTCTGAGTGTATATACTGTTTGTTGTGATGTTCAAATATTTACACTATTTTGGTGTAAAAAATGGCGATATAGGTTGAAGTCTTGAAGATGAAGGTATTTTAAACTGTTACACATTGCTTTGTAACAGTGATTTATATTTGGAATGGTTACTTGCGGTTGCATATGCTGGAGGAATTACTGCTCCAATCAATTATCGCTGGGTTAGTGGGCCAACCCTGATCTAGTTGATTGTAATTAGTTTACATACTTGAACTACACAGTACACAATGGGCCAGGAATATGAGACCCAGTATTCTATGAAACAATATGAGGACCTTGTATTAAGTTCTTTCATGATATGCATTAGCATATTGCAACTTATCTCTCGGTAGTGCAGTACCTGGGTTGTTTTTGGAAGTTTAAAGTGTAGTATCACCAACCCGCCCCAGTTCATATTACATGGAAATTTGGGCAGGTTGAATTAAAACCACTCTTAAGGTAAAAGAGGGTTGAAATCCAATCAATAATGAATTGTGTTAAATTTAACCACCCATGATAGTATTCCGCATTCATTTTTTGTTCAACATATTCTATGTTACCTGATTTGTGTTATTTGAATCTCAAAATTCTACAAATATGATTGGTTAGTACTACCTATAAGATGTTTAAACTTATGCTGTACTTTTAGTCTTTAACCTGTTTTTGATCGGTGTTTTGTCCCTCCTAAAAACCTGGAGTTTCCTATTCGCAATCAGACTTTTGTCCAACTTTCAGACATATATGTATACAGTACAATTATACATATAACTGATAAGGTGAAAAAAGCGGATGCCTGAGATTCTAATCTGTATTTCTGGGAGGTGTTTGGTCATAGTAATTAATCTCAGCTTATAGAGCTTGGAAGAAGCAAGTGAGGCCGTGAAGGTGGCAAGGCCTACATTATTGGTCACAGACTCAGCGTTGAATTTCTGGCACTCCAAGTTTGATATAGACTCTATATCTTCACTAAGATGGCATGTCTCAATTGACATCCCTTTCGGAGTGGAAAGCACTTGGAATGGTATGAGTTAGAGTTTCCTTGCCTAAGTTTGAAAAGTCAATTAATGCATAACCAAGCTTTTCTTGTTCATGGATATCTCTCCTGTCCTTGAGTTGATGTATTTCTATATCTTGTTATTTTCTAGGGTTGACTACAAAAAAGCTTAAGAACCGCAATAACATATCTTTAGAAACTAATTATATGTGGGCCCCTGAGGGAGCTGCTATAATATGTTTTACCTCAGGTATTCATACTTCTTTCTTAATGCTTCAACTTTCAAGTGTCCTATTATACCTACTTGCTGATGCCTTTCTTTTCTTTGTAAATGGCAATTCACAACAGGAACCACTGGCAAACCTAAGGGAGTTACTTTAAGCCACTCTGCTTTGATAGTACAGTCCCTTGCAAAAATCGCAATTGTTGGTTACCGAGAGGATGATGTAGGTCTTCATGTGTTAAAAGAAAAGATAAGATGCCCGTTCAAACCACAAATGATGCATCCTGTAATATTCTTGAATTAATGCTCTCGCAATTCTTACAGGTGTATTTACACATGGCTCCACTTTGCCACATTGGTGGAATGTCATCTGCCATGGCTGTGTTAATGGCTGGAGGCTGTCACATTTTAATACCCAAGTTTAATGCTGGATTGGCTGTTGAATCCATTCACCAATATGCTGTCACCTCTTTAATTACTGTTCCAGCTATGATGACTGATCTAGTATCATTTTACAGGTATGCAAGGTGGCCTTTAGTCTTTAACACTATAAGAATATATATTTGGAGTATATGGGGGTAATTGGTAAAATTATGCCCATTTACATCTGGATGCCTTCTTGAGACCTTCCCTAGCAATATTGATGAGTGAATATATTGGAATACTAATTACTAACTTGCTCACTGTTAGCATGTTCCCTGCTTGATAACTTCACCTATACATGTGCAGAGTGATTTAATAATGCTGTACTTTGTTAGTTAATAACATATGATAAAGTTGGAATCTTTCCTATCAATGTAATGGAGAGCAAGAGAACACATTTATTTAGCGCACCATCACCTTTTCGAAATTCCATTTCATGTTTTAGAAATTTTTACAGCAGAAAAGGGGAATCGGAAGGGTCACCAACAGTGAAGAAGATACTTAATGGAGGTGGAGCTCTTTCAGTTGAGCTTATCAATCATGCTGCTAAAATATTCCCAAGAGCTAAACTTATATCCGCGTACGGTATGTACTGTATTTTTTCAGTAAAAAAGATGGATCCACACATAAATTTAGGTCAACTTATTATAACTTACAAGTGGTCAGCTGTTCAGGCAATGTGGTTTTCATTTTTATGTACTTTCAAGGGAAGGAGTGATATTGGTGAAATGGGCTATTAGGGACTGAATTAAAATTTGGTAGGATAAGGGCATGACGTGTTAAAGCCCCAATGAGTGAAGGATACGAAAATGGAATGTCATTACCTAAAGCTCTTGTTTCGAGTGCTTCTAGAGGCATGGAGAGCATTGAAGCTTAACTGTAAAGAATAATGTAGTTTTGTGGACTCAGGACACAGACTGTTATCTATCAATTCGGGGTCCGAAAGATGAAAGATATCGATCTAAGTGTCTAAGATCCTCTAAGTATTTCTGAATTGGAAATAGCATATGTAACAAAAACACCCATTCAAACACACGTACAAATGAAAAATGCCCAATTTGTCCATTTAGCAGGTTTCCTACAGATATCCAGGAATCACCATCGCATCACCTCCAAGTCACAGCCACATTGTCCTAAACCTTACCAACTCACCATCTTATGAATTTATTTTATTTCCTTCCTCTTTCCATTTTCTTTCATTTCTTTCTTTTCATGCCATAATTGGCCAACATGGACAAGGTACGGTACGGTACCTTGAGGTTACCACAGAATTTTGTCATATTCATTCCATCCCCCAAGATCTTGCCAGCATCTATGGCATCTCAGAATTTTCGGCAACCTTGAGGGAAAAAAAAGAAAAAAAGTCATGCTTCTTAGTTTCTCTATTACTCCCCAAATTCATAAGAAATGACAGGAAAAGATGATTGTAACATGCAAGTCCAATCCATGGCCTACTATAATAAACACTTTTCTTATACTTCCAGTTTATTTGGGCTGGATGCGGTGGAGTGTAGGGTGGTCATGGTCACAGGCGATGAAGTGGAGGTGTAGGGGATGTGCTAGATGCCATGGAGGGTGGAGGCAATGGATGCAGAACACAAAATGGTGTATCTGGGAGAAGAAAGAGAAAAAAAGAGAAGGGAAAGTTAAATCATCATCATCATTATTACCCCAGTGCCGCAAAGGCTCCCACCCTACGGTGGGGTAAGGGGGGTTGGATGTACGCAGTCTTACCCCTGTGCTAAAGCACAAAGAGACCGTTTCCGAATGACCCAAAGTGAAAATTGCATCAAAAATTGCATAGATTGACTGCTGCTTCATAACAAAGAAGCGCATACAGTTTAGTGAGCCATTTTTCTTGTGTAGCCACTTGTGTAGCCATGTAGAAGAAAGATTGGTTGCTTTTTCTAAGTTCATGTGTGTAATTGGAGTTTTTTGGGTGCGGGGGCAAGAGATAGCCGTTATGAAGATAGTAAGCGAAACTATTTGACATTTTTGTGTTTAATATATAATCGGCTAAGAATTTTTTTAAAACAACGGGTTATTGATGATTAACCTATCTTTTGGGTCTTGAATCAATAAACCCCAATATTTATCTATTCTGCAGAACCTTACAAGGATTAGGATTTTATGGTCACATACAAGCAGCGTGTGATTGAGATTTCAGTTCTTTTGTATGGAATTATAGCCTTTCCTAGTATTTATATTCCTTGATACCTTGATTCAGACATGAATGGTGTTATATTTCAAAAATGTGAAGGGATGACAGAGGCATGCTCTTCTATGACATTCAAGACTCTCTATGACCCAGCAAAAGAAAGTGTTAGACACGCGCTCCAATTAAATAATGATAGGGACTCCAATTCGGCAAGTCAACAAGAAGGCATCTGTGTTGGAAAGCCTGCCCCACATGTTGAATTAAGAGTTTGTGCAGAGAGTTCATGTCGTAATGGGAGGATACTAACACGAGGCTCTCATGTAATGCTTGGATACTGGGGCCAGATATCAAACAAAACTTCCAAATTTGCTGGTGAAAACTGGCTTGACACAGGTGACATTGGTCATATAGATGACCATGGCAATATCTGGCTCATTGGGCGTTCCAAGGGTCGAATCAAGAGTGGAGGAGAAAATGTTTATCCTGAAGAAGTAAGTTGCCTTCATCGTCACCACTTTCAAGTTTCATCTTAACTATGTTGGGGTCTTTGTCATATTACACTATAAATTCATGCAAAAACCATATAACATTAGTATTTGCCTCTAGATGAGACAATACGATACATAAAGCCACATAGGCTAGAAATAATTGAAAACTTGTTATGAAGCTAGAAATTATATTGCTTATTATAATAATAATGTAGCTAGTATGGTTAATTTGCTAATGTAGTTTTTAAAATCGCAGATGTGCTGATTAACTTGGCATTCTGTAGTATTTCTTCCACACAAACTGATGAATACTAAGTGATGCCAGAAGGCTAGAATGGTCTATGCAATCCGTAATAAATCTGTAACACTGACAGTTCAAGTTTTAAAATAAAAAAAAAATGTCTTGCCTATACTACTATAATGTTTACTTGTCTGTGCATGTTACAACCTGCCGATAGAACATAAGAGTAACTCTTTTTTGGTTGTTCTGTGATCATAAAGAATTGTATGTGGCATCCAGCCTCAAGCCCTCCTACAAAAATAACCATATTTGTCTTGTGCAAAAGGTAGAGGCTGTCCTGTCACAACATCCTGGTGTTTCTGGCAATGTAGTTGTTGGACTTCCAGATTTGCGCTTGGGAGAGATGGTTGTTTCCTGCATTCAGCTCAAATGCAATTGGCAGTGGGATGATTTAAGCTCCAGCCCTCCATCAGTTAACTACTTGTCTGCTGACATCCTCCGCTGCTTCTGTAAAGAAAAACAATTGACTAGGTATGTCTTTAATCCATCATCTGCACCTTTGTGACATCTGGAATATATATATGAGAGCATTTGATGCATGGTATCTTTCTTTAAGTCGTTGATGCTAAAATCTTTTCCAGGTTTAAAGTACCAAAAAGATTTATTAGGTGGAGGAATCAGTTTCCAGTGACGACAACAGGCAAAATAAAAAGAGACCAAGTCAGAGCAGAACTCATGTCTAATATGCAGTCAATGTCCAGCAAATTATAGAACATATTTCTTGCAGTCTGTAATAAATTATAGAGAAAGGGGTCAATTAGACCCTTCCACAATTGTACTAATCACATTAGCCAAAAAAACGGATGATGACCATTTTTTCTTTTTCTTTACTCTCTCATTCTTCTTCCTTTCTCTTTCTTGGTGGCATGTTTGTCCTACTCCCCCTTAATTCTTCTCCGTCCTTTTTATGTTATTATCTTCACTTTTTCTTTATCCTTTTCTTTTTCTTCGTTTCCTTTATCCTGAATCTCCATGGACGAAAGAGAGCTTGGGTCGATGTACTTCATCAAAGTAGGGAGCACTTGTTTCATCACCTTATACATGCAGGCATGCACGTGCCTCAACTATGTACTCTTCTCCCATTCCCACTGTCATCCGCTTTCTTTTCCTTCTTTGCGGCGGCTTTTTCAGCGGGTTATCATTATTCTTTTATTCAGCTGAGATCGGCAATTGATTATGGGGATCTTCTTTAGCTGCCGACGGAGTTGACACTACTTCCACGGTTGTTCTACTTGTTCCTTTTCTTTGAAAATGGTAATGTTAATTTGATATGGGTTAAAAAATTAATAAAATTCATGACAACTTAGGTCCCAGATCGATAAATTTAAATCATTCAGGTTCTATAATGATAGTTTTTCATCATTCAGGTCCTATGTTGATACATTTCATCTTTTAGGTCCCGGATTGATAGTTCATCTATCTTTCGGATTCTGAATTGATAAAATCCTTAAATTAAGGAAATTAGGCACATAACCCATTTTATGAATAAATTTAATGATTTTGAAATTACTTTTCCTAATATTCTGATTGAATATGCAAGTAAATATGTCAAAATCTCTAAATCATATAAAAATACTAATCAATTTTCTTTTATTTGACAATTGAATTTGTTCATATAAGGGATTTTGCGCATAATTAAATAAAACACAAGGGGGTTTGTCGCATTTTTTAAATCACAGAGGTTAATGAGTCTGTGATTTGGTGCACTAAACCGGAAGTAAAAAACGAAAAAGAAAACAAGAGTGAAATCCTACACGTGGACCAGCCATGTTGGCATACTAACCTGCTAACCCATTGGTAGCAGTTAAAGTACTTATTTGATTGGTTTTTTAAAGTTGGTGGATCTAATTGAGTGTTCTTTTAGTTTGAAAGCTTAATTGACTTTTTTTGATATATTTGGAGGATTTATTTGACAATTTTTCCTAGGAAAAACATTTTTGTGGTCCTATTTTGAGAAGAAGCTTGACATTGACAATTTTCTCTTGAGGATAATACCTTGCATAATTATGCCAACTGAAACTGTGGTGATGATTTAGCTGTCTTAGAGCCTGTTTGGTAGCACGAAAATCGGCTGATTTGGTTGATTCAGCTGAAACTTATGAAGTTCTGGCTGAAGTGGCTGCATTGACTGATTCTGCTGATTTAAGAAAAAAATAATTTTAAAATATATTTTATTAATAAAATAAAGAAAAAATTATAAGTAAAAATGGCTAAAATTGTCATCTATAGTAACTTCAGCCAATACAACCAGAAAAGTAACTCCAACCTTATTTTTTATGCTTATTACACAATTCAGCGCGCGAAAGCAAAAGTTACGTGTTTAGTGAAAAAGTTGGCTGGTAAGCCTGATAAGCCGAAAAACAATGTTGCCAAACGGCCTCTTAATCTCCAAGAATGTTGTCATACATCTTAAGTGAGGCCGGGCGATGCACTATTGTTTCTTAGGTGAGGGCCATTGGGCCAAACTGTTGGGTGTGTCTCGGAAAAACGAAGAAATATTAATTAATAAAAATAATTAATTAATTTAATTAGCTAAAGAAAAACAGAAAAAGAGACGGGACAGAGTTTAGCCAGAGGTCGTGCTACGCACGATGTCCTTAAAACGTATTCGTCGCCTCCCACGGTGCTAGGAGCGTTGCAACGACCGTTTCCCAGGATACGGTGGCTAACGAAGTAACGTTTGAGCACACAAACGAGAGTTCCGGTGAACGAGAACAAAGGCAGAACACTCAGGAATTTTCGGAGTAGCTGGAAGTGTTTTAGAGCTCAAAATATGTGAGGAATGTATTGTGTGTTCTGTTGTTGCAAACCACCTGCCAACCATTTATAGGAGGATTTGTTGTGTGTTAAATGGAGTGTTAATGGACCTGAACGTTGGACATCAATGACCAGTCCGTTAGGCATTGAATCATCCATAAATTGTCCATTTAACGCAACATTAAAAGAGAAGAACGTTGGACATTTATTGTTGAAACATCTTGGAGCAGTTCTGGTGCGCGACCAGAATACCCCCACCAGAAGAGGAGCAGTTCTGGTGTGCGACCGGAATACCCTCACCAGAAGAGGAGCAATTCTGGTGCGAACAGAACTCGAGGACTTCGGGATTTGATCGGCACCCCCCTGCGCGTAAGAGAGAGCCTTTACCTTTAGGAATCTTAACTCCTTAAAAGAGGCTTCCCTTTATAAGGGGGTGAAAATCCCTTGTGTTTTCCGGTGTGATATAAAACACACTAGAAACTCGTGTGCGCAGGTCGCCCGCGCACACGAGTCGCGGTTTTTCCATTTCAACGAGTGAACTTCGATAATCAATTTCGCATTCACCCGTTATCCGTTTTGAGCATACCATATATCTTTGAATGATAGGTTTTTGGAAGACATTCGTGTCCGCAGGTCGCCCGCGCACACGAGTCATGGTTTTTCTTCTCCGTTTCGGGATTTGATCGGCACCCCTCTTGTGCATAAGAGAGAGCCTTTACCTTTAGGAATATTAACTCCTTAAAAGAGGCTTCCCTTTATAAGGGGGTGAAAATCCCTTGAGTTTTCCGGTGTTGTATAAAACACACTAGAAACTCATTATTTTCCCAGTTTTTCCATTTCAACGAGTGAACTTCGAGAATCAATTTCGCATTCACCCGTTATCCGTTTTGAGCGTACCATATATCGAATTGTAGCCCTTAACAAGGACAATTCGAAACCACTTTGACCCGACCCAAATCGGAAGTGGATCCCACTCAAATAATTTCTCCAAAATAACCATTTAATGCAATTTTAACACATTTTTCCAACACAAACCCGAACTCCTATATTTGAAAACTGTTGAGAAAAATATTATCCATCCCGTTTAAAAGTTCACATTGCAAAATGACACGATTATTTAGGCAATAATTAAATAATGTAATTTATGTATATTTTGAGGAATAATTTTAATAGATTATAATATAATGTGGTTAATGGTGATAATTGTGATGTTATAGATGTACTACTTCCGTACCATGATTTTAATTTGATTAGTATAATATTATGAAAGTTATAAATTTTTACTTTATGAAAGTATTTTTAACAAAGAAAAATTTCATATCATTTTTATATTATAAATAATTTCCAATAAATATATATTATTGGTCAAAATTTTGGATTTGGCTAATAATTTTGGGATGGCGGTAATATTATTTTTAATATTTCATGATTAAATAGTCATTTAAGAGTGTTAATGATTTTCTAAAATAAAAATGAGAACGTTTATATAGCACATCCAAAAAAGAAAAAAAACATTTATATGGGACGAAGGGAGTACTAAGGTTGTTATTGCTTAAAATAGGAACAAAAAACAATATCATTTCTCCTCAAAGTTTAGTTATTACCTCAAAGAATAAAATGAGCATAAACAACCTCTTCACGTAACAATACATTTTTTGGCTATGTTCCTTTTATGAGATCTAGTGGAATGAAATGGAGACTAAAACGAAGGGTCCTTTTGGTATCACTTAAATCGGCTAGGCGGTTGAATCTGCTGAAATTGATAAAGTTGTGACTGAAGCGGTTGAATTGGCTGGATTTGCTGAAGAATGGGGAATTCAAAGTACACTGTGTTAATAAACATAAGAAAAAATTATATGAAAAATAGTTAAAATGTGTTGGGCTCCCTCCTTAATTGAGAAGTTACTGAGAACATCTCTAGAATACCGTGGAGATGCCTAGAATTCTCTAACTGTGTGTGGAGAAGGATTGAATGTTCTTGAATATTCTAGAGCTTTCTAGAGAGGAGGGTCATAGAATATTCTAGAACATTGTTGAGTTTTTAGAGGAGTGTCCAGATCCTTCTAGAAGATTAGATAATCTTGTGGATACTTTTGGAAGACTCTAGAAGTGTAGTAGTGCATAGAAAGTTCTAGAGAAATTTTGAGGAGATTAATATAAATAGGGTGAGACTCATGATTTCTAAGTGAGAGCCTTGAGTAAGAGCCATCTGAGAGCCTCCTCGAATGATGAGAGAGAGCCTTGAGGAGAGCTCTTGAGTGAGTGACAGACTACTTGAGATAAAAGAAGGAGAGTGATGGAGTATATGGCCCGGGAACCCCCGGTCCACAGACTCCTACTACTCCAATAAAGGCCCAATAGGCCCAGGAAGCACAACAGGCCCAAATCTCAGCACCCAGAGTACCAAGCGACCCACAGTGCGCACCAGGGGTGCCTTCGGACAACTGGTCGAAGGCTCTGATTCTAACAGGAGGGTCAAATCAGGAAAACAAAGTTACTGGGAGAAAACGGCGAAAATCAGTAGCCCTCGGCACTTAGAGCCCTCGGCACTAAGGAGGTCCCCGGTACTCAGAGCCCTCGGCTAGTCATCTACAGCCGAGGGCACCTTTCCGACATAATATCCGCTCCACATGCGTATGAATCACCGTACCAAGTACGACGTCACATCCAACAACCGCATTAAATGCGGCCACATGCGAGTGCCAGCGCCAACCAGTTGCGGTGACCCCTCGGCCAATGGATGCTTGACACGTGTCACTATCTGGCATTTATTGCTACTATAAATAGCACCCCATTTCCCCCTTTGTAACCCAGAAGCAAAGTACGCTTAATACATATCGAATATACACTCTCTCTCTTACTTATTTGCTCTGATTTCTCTCTAGTTATTCTCCGCAATAACCCCTCGGATAAGCTACCCCCGGGTATACTATCCATCATTTGGTGCTCTCGTTGAGAGGTCGAACAATCAAGTAAAAAACCCTCCCCCTCGACCAAACACAAAACACCTAGCTAAAATGGTGAGAACAACTCGTGCCAACTCCAAGAATGTTGAGGACAGGAACCTGGCCCTCGGCGAGGTCGACGTCC